TAAATCCATGATATATGCAATTTAAAAAAAATACATGTTGGAACGTTGTGGAAATGAAACGCCTTTTTCATCATCTAATATAGCGAAAAATGCAATTAATTGTCATATATAAGAATAATTAATGCCAGTTTTTATTAAATACCACATTGGAACGTTGTGGAATCGATACAATTTTTACAAAAAATTTTATTTTATTCCCTAATATTGTGAAAAATGCATTTATGTGAAATATTCAAAAAAAAATCCAACCGAAACGTTGTGGAACTGAAACAATTTTTATAAAAAAATTATTTTCTTCCCAAAATACCATTATTTGTCATATAAAATAAGGCAATCAAGATTTTTGATTGGAACGTTGTGGAATTGAGACACTTTTTGCAAAACTTCACTTATGCCATTTTTTTCCAAAAAATCTAATTCCATTATCTAATTTAGCAAAAAATGCAATTTATTCTCATATAAAAGTGTAAGATGTGATATTTTTATGAAATACTCAAAAAATTTCCCTTTGGAACGATGTGGAATTGATACAATTTTTATAACAAAAGAAAGTTTCTTCCCTAATATAACGAAAAATTCAATAGCTTATAATATAAAATAAAGTAATCAAGATTTTTCAAATGGAACGTTCTGGAATTGAAACACTTTTTGATAATATTCATTCCATTATCTAATATTGCAATTTCTTGTCATATAAAAGAAAACGAAAATGGAACATTGTGGAATTTAAACAAAACTTACCAACAATTATTAATTTTATTCCATTATATTGCCAAAAATGCAATTACTTGTCTTACAAAATAAAAACTCTAGATTTGTTCTTGTGAAATGTTCTGGAATTGAAACACGTTGCTCTAAAATCTACTTATTTTAGTTTTCTTTTCTAAAATATGTAATGTCATTATCTAATTTTGAGAAAAATGCTATTTCTTGTCATATAAAAGTATAAGTTATGTCATTTTTATGAAGGACCCAAAGAATTTGCATTTGGAACGATCTGGAATTGGATTATTTTTATAAAAAAATAAGTTTCTTCCCTAATATAAAAAAATGCAAAAACTTGTAATCTAAAATAAAATAATCAAGATTTTTCATGAGGAACGCTGTGGAATAAAAACACGATTATCTAAAATACACTCACTTCTATCTATTAGATATAAGTAAAAGTAATGCAATTTTTCTAAAATACTCAAAAAAAATCCAATTGGAATATTATGGAATTGAAACAAATTTTAGAAACCAATATTAATTTTTCCCCAATATTACCAAAATGCAATTACTTGTCATATTAAATAAAATAATCGACATTTTTTTCGTGTGGAATGTTGTGGAATTGAAATACATTTTTAAAAATAGACTTATCTCAATTTTCTTTTCTCATATACAATTGTAATATATAATATTGCAAAAAAGTCACTACATGTCATATAAAAGTAAAATTTATGCCATTTTTGTGAAATAACCATAAAATGTCCAATTGAAACACTGTGTAATTGAAACACCTTTTGTCTACAATCCACTCACTTCAATTTGAACCAAACAATTTTCCTATACAAACTGCTTTCATTTCATTAACAAATGTCTGAAATTAAGTCATACAACCATAAAATTACCAACCCACTTTTCATTTGCGCGTTCAGTTTCCTTCCTGGCCCCAGCACAATAACAACAATAATTTATAACATTTCATGTTTTGTAACATTTCATTTTTCCACACCAATATTTTGCTCTGTTTTGCTGCTCCTATGTTGGTAAGTAGGCTGGTTGGCTGGCTGGCTGGTAAGAAATGCGTAAATGCGTAAATGCGTGTTTTTTCAAGCCGACATACGCACATACCTACATAAATTTAAAGTTATTACCTTATTTAAGTGAAATATTTCTTTGGCATTTTGTTGGCAATATTTTTGCACTCGCAAGTCCCATATGTTATAATTTTATGAAATATGCAATATTTTGCTTTCATCCTGGAAAGCTCTTTAATGAGGCGCTATTATTCAAAAATGTTTGCGAGAGGGCATAGGCGTAGTTGGGATACATTTTTCAAGGGGTAGGTATGAATCCCAGAGCTTCTGGGATGTTATTTGTCTAGAAGTGAATTGAAAAGTAATACAAAATAAATTCCTAAAATTGAAAATATTTTAACCCCTTTAAATATCTACGCCCCTGGCCACTTTTCACAATAATGGCCGTTTAAAGACTTAATTTTTTGCAAAAAATATAGCTGAAGATTTAAGGCTTTTGCTGGCTGAAGTATTTCATTTATCTGTTTAAAAAAATATCTGCATATCCCGAGAATATGATACCAGTTAACGGCCGTAATGTAAAAAAAAATCACTCATAGCCTTAAAAGCCTAAACTGAATACCATTTAATGAGCCTGTTGTTGTTGTTTGCTTGCTGTTATTTTTCACAAGGCAAATGGTTAATGTCCTTGTTTTCCTCTAGCAGACACTAGGCGGTCTAGCAGAAAATGCTAAAGGAAATAAATAATGCAGCAATATTTAAGTGGAATATAATGTATTTTTTTCGGAAAATATTTGCTTTAAAGCCATTATGGGACAATTATACTGCATAAATGTTTCAATTCCATTTTGTTGCACGTTGGAGAGTAATGTCATAAATATATGTTTTCTAAAAGTCGAGACTCATTTTGATTCAAAAATATGGCAGAACATCTTTTTTAATACAAGGTGAGATAAAAAAAACTGCAACAAAGTCAAACGCCATAATTTTTACATTTTTTTTAATTTTTTTTAATGAAAGCAAAAAATGTCGGAAATGAAATCAAATTTTAGAATAAGTTTAGATTTGTTCGATTTGATCACCTTTGGCACGAATTATGGCCTTCACACGGCCAATGAAACCGTCACACGCTGCCCGAATGTTGCTCTGCGGTATTTCGCCCATTGAGTCCTGTTGCAATGTCCAAGGTCTGCGGCCAAAATGTTTGCGTGCCCAAGGCTTTAATACACCCTCCAGAATATTTTCGCGATTTATATTCGGCATTTATTCTGATGCCATGGTCGATTAGTACGAGCGGAGCGGACTGTTATGGCGGCCCACACCATCACCAAGGCCGGCGCTTAAGTTCTGGTGGCCAACCGAAGGTGCACATTTTCAGCTGACCTCTTTGGCAAGTAAACACGATCATTTTGTTTGTTTACAAACTGCTGGACAACGAATGTTTTCTCATAGGAGAAAACCAAATTCGGCAGTCCATTACCTTCGGCCAAGCGAAGCAACTCTTTAGCTCTTTTGAGTCTATTTTTTTTTGTTGCGGTGTAAGTTCTTGCATTTTTTGGAATTTCAATGGCGTTATCCCGAGCTCATTTTTCAATATTTGCCGAATGGAATATTGCGATATGTTTAGTTCACGAGTCATTTTTCGACCACTGCGATGCGGGGTTCGATCAAGTCGCTTCTTTACTTTTCGAACCATTTCTGCTGATTTTGCTATTTTCTTCCGTCCACTTCCTTGACATCGGGCTATGCTACTAGTATCAAGTCGCTTCTTTACTTTTCGAACCATTTCTGCTGATTTTGCTATTTTCTTCCGTCCACTTCCTTGACATCGGGCTATGCTACTAGTATCACGGTAACGAGCGATGGCACGAGACACAAAAGATTTATTCACATTTAAATGCTGGAGTGCTCTAACGATAGCCACTTGTGGTTTTCCAGCCAAATAAAAAGAAATCACACTGTCACGCTTGAATTCCATCACGAACAATTTTTTTTTTTGGAAAATTCTCACCAGAATATTTTTTTATCCTTGTAAACAATATAATGAGCTATCACTGGAATAATTTTAACAGCTGTTGGACGAGTGGCTTAGAAATGACAGCCGTCTGAAGTTGGTTGTAGTTTTTTCATCTCTAGACACGAACAGAAATAACATAAACCTTTATTTTTCATAAAAATATTTTTTTATTCAAAATTAAGTAAAAAAATCGCATTCCTTAAAAAATAGTTTTAAAAAATCCACTTTTGTTAATAGTACTTGAATTTATATTTTTAATAAATCCACTTTTATTAGTAGTCCTTAAAATAATTTTTTTTTTAAAATCAACGTTCATTGAAAGGGTAAATTTTTATTTTTAAAAATTCATGGCTCTTGATAGCCCCTGAAAAACATATTTTTAAAAAATCAACTTTTATTGTCATTCCTTGAAAATACATTTTTAAATCAAAGATTTTATCATCAGTCTTAAAATAGTATTTTTTTTAAATCCACTTTTATTAAAAGTCCTTGACAATATATTTTTAATAAATCCAGTTTTATTAAAAGTCCTTAAAATAATATTTTTAAAAAATCAAAGTTCATTGAAAGTGTCAATGTTTATTTTTAAAAATTCATGGCTGTTGATAGCCTCTGAAAAAAATATTTTTAAAAAATCAACTTTTATTGTCATTCCTTGAAAATACATTTTTAAATCAAAGATTTTATCATCAGAACCTTTCAAATTATTATTTTTTTAATTCAAGATTTTAACCCAGAAAATCCTTCAGATATATTCCAAACCCCACGATTGCAGCTCGAAAGGCCTTAAAAAGTTTTTTTTTTAATTCCAGATTGTCTCCTTGTTAGTCCTTGGAGAGACTCCATTTAAGAAATTGGCTTTAATGTGGTTTCATAAAATATAGTTTTTTTCTGACTATTTTAACTATAATAATTATATTCCAATCCCATTTCATTCCAACTTCCCACAATAATGATACCATTATTAAATTTTCCCCTTCCATTAATAATTTATTATTTAAAATTACCATTTAATATATCCTTTACCTGTTTATAATGCCACTTCATAAATAATAGAGTCCTCTCTCTCTCTCTCTCTTAAATATTTTATGAATTCAAATTAATTTGCCATTTTCACAGTGGCCTTTTCATTGCTGCTCAGGACAAAATTGCCCTCAATTTCAGTTATTTATAATCAAATTTATTCATTCGTCTGCCGAACCCCCACCCGACTTAATGCTCCTTTTGTTTTCTATTTACAGCAATCTCTGTTGGCAGGACGTATACCGGTAGCCTCAATGACGGGTCCAATTAAACGCGGCCTTTTATGGCAGCAACGTGATCGTTTGTTTTCACGATGGAAAGAAAGGTAAGGCTGGCATACTAAATTATTATGGTACACTCAGTGAATGAATGAATGAATATTTGATGGAGAAAAAAAACAGAACAAAAGCAAATAGGAAAGAGTACCTCCCACAATGGGCAGACGCTGGATTGTACTTCAAACTTTTTACGTTGCAATGCAAGTTGCATAGCCATGGCCCAGTGCGTGGTTGCAAGGTTTATAGATAACCTGCTGTATTGCATGCAATTCAATGGTGGAGGAGATAAGGAGACATTCACTCTCACTGAGTCTGTTTCTCTTTTTTTTTCCAAAAAATAAAACACAAGCTTTAGTATTTTAATTGGTGACAAATAATTGACAGGTCAACTACATGTCTATGGCACAGAGAAGCCATGAGGTGACCTCATACCGAACATAGTATGACACGTGTGTGTGGCCAAGGATGTTTCCAACCATGTCCATGTCCATGTCCATGTGTGTGTATATGTTGTCGAGTTGTGAAAACATTTCACTACAGGATATTTCCATTGTCTGATTTCATTGTTGCCGTGTGTCTCGTCCTGTTTTTTTTCTCTGACTGAGTTTTAAGTGAATTATTTTAAATAATTAATGAATACATGGCAAAATCGTTTCAATCCAGTTTTTTTCGTCTTTCATGCTCTCTGCAATTTCTGACTGCTGACTGATAAATATAGATATAAATGGAAATTGTAATTGATTTGCTGTCTTCTGAATTGCATTCGTCGGAGAGAGCGAAACAAAAATTGGGGTTAATGGTTTTATGGTGTTGATTTTGTTTTGAAAATTTTTGTTGGCTGGTGGGAATTTCGGAAAATATTTAATAATGTTATTTTTTACAAATAATCAATATGTAAATCGATATATCATTGTTTGCCAAAAGGCCAATTGATAATAGTTTGGGATGAATAAATGGAGATGTTCAAATACCAATTGGGGTTGATGTGAGTTTTTAACATTGTAACATCAAACAAATAAAAAGGCTGTCCACCATTTGGCAATTCTCAAAGACAATAATATCCGTTTGAGGAGTTACAAACGCAATGATAAAGTTAATATACCCTTCATAGTATGGTGGAGGTTATAAAAAACCCACGTTTATGGATGGCCCTTGAAAAATATTTTTAAAAATCCACATTTTTAGATATTCCGTAAAAATTCGGATGGCCCTTGAAAAACTATTTTTAAAAAATCCACGTTCATGGGTTTCCTTTGAAAACAAATATTTTTAAAAATTCTTATTTTTAGATACGTTAAAAAATATATTTTAAATTTTCTGAATTTTCCTTAAAAAATATTTTTAAAAAATCCACGTTCATGAGTTTCCTTGAAAAACAAATATTTTTAAAAATTCTTATTTTTAGATACGTTAAAAAATATAGTTTAAATTTTCTGAATTTTCCTTAAAAAATATTTTTAAAAAAATCCACGTTTGGCGTTGATCCATGAAAAAATATTTCTTAATACTCCGTAAAAAAATATTTTTAAAAAATCCAGGATAATTGGTAGTCCTTAAATAATATTTTTAAAAATATCCAGGTTAATTGGTAGTCCTTAAATAATTTTTTTTAAAAAATCCAGGTTAATTGGTAGTCCGTAAAGAATATTTTTAAAAATCCACGTTGATTGGTAGTCCTAAAAAAATATTTTTAAAAAGAATCCACGTTGATTGGTAGTCCTTAAAAAATATTTTTAAAAAATCCAAGTTCACGGACGGTCCTTGAAAAAATATTTTTAAAAAATTTACGTTTATTGAGGGTCCTTGAAAAATATTTTTAAAAAACCACGTTGATTGGAAGTCCTTAAAAAATATTTTTAAAAAATCCAAGTTCATGGACGGTCCTTGAAAAAATATTTTTAAAAAATTTACGTTTATTGACTGTCTTTGAAAAAATATTTTTAAAAAATCCACGTTTACTGTTGGTACTTGAAAAAATATTTTTAAAAAATTCATGTTTATTGATGGTTTAAAAAAAATATTTTGAAAAAATCCTCGTTGGTCCTTGAAAAATAAAAAAATATATTTAAATAAATTCTGGCTTTTTATTGGTCCTTGAAAAATATTTTTAAATAAATTCACGTTTTAGGTTGGTCCTTGAAAACATTTTTTTTTAATTCAAGTTTCTGGATGGTCCTTGAAAACATTTAAAAAAAAAACAACGTTCCTTGATGGCCCTTAAAAAATTTATTTTAAAAAATCCAAGTTTATGGATGTCCCTTGAAAAAAAAAAATTAAAAATCCTCGTTTATGAATGTCAATTGAAAACATTTTTTTAGAACATCAACGTTTTTGGATGGCCCTTGAAATTTTTTTAAAAAAATCAACGTTTCTGGATGTCCCTTGACAATTTTTTTTTAAATCCATGTTTATGGATGGCCCTTGAAAAAATATTTTTGAAATCCACGTTTATGAATGGCTCTTGAAAAAAATATTTTTAAAAAATCCATGTTTATGGATGACCCCTGAAAAAAATATTTTTAAAAAATCCATGTTTAAGGATGACCCCTGAAAAAAATATTTTTAAACAATCCACGTTTATTGTTGGTCGTGGAAAGATATTTTTAAAAAAACCATGTTTATTGTTGGTCGTTGAAAAAATATATTAAAACTCACGTTATTGGTTGGTCCTTGAAAAAATATTTAAAAAAAAACCACGTCTCTTGGTAATCCTTAAAAAAAAAATATTTTTAAAAAATCTACGTTTGGTGTTGGTCCATGAAAAAAATATTTTTAAAAAATCTACGTTTGGTGTTGGTCCATGAAGAGATATTTTTAAAAAATCCACGTCTCTTGGTAATCCTTAAAAAAATATTTTTAAAAAATCTACGTTTGGTGTTGGTCCATGAAAAGATACTTTTAAAAAATGCACTTCTCTTGGTAATCCTTGAAAAAATATTTTTAAAAAATCTACGTTTGGTGTTGGTCCACGAAAAAAATATTTTTAAAAAATCTACGTTCATTGATTTCTCTAAAAAAAAAATACTTTTAATAATCCAAGTTTATTGATTTCCCTAAAAAATATTTTTAAAAAATCAATGTTGATTGATAGTCATTGAAAAAATATTTTTAAAAAAGCAATATTGATTGGTAGTCATTGAAAAAATATTTTTAAAAACTCCACGTTTATTGTTGGTTCTTGAAAAAATATTTTTAAAAAATTCACGTTTACTGTTGGTTCTTGAAAAAATATTTTTAAAAAATAACTTTTTTTGTTGGCCCTTTAAAAAAATATTTTTAAAAAATCCACGTTTATTTTTGGTTCTTGAAAAAATATTTTTAAAAAATCCACGTTTATTTTTGGTTCTTGAAAAAATATTTTTAAAAAATCCACGTTTATTTTTGGTTCTTGAAAAAATATTTTAAAAAATCCACGTTTATTTTGGTTCTTGAAAAAATATTTTTAAAAAATCCACGTTTATTTTGGTTCTTGAAAAAATATTTTTAAAAAATCCGCGTTTATTTTTGGTTCTTGAAAAAATATTTTTAAAAAATCCACGTTTATTTTTGGTTCTTGAAAAAATATTTTTAAAAAATCCACGTTTATTTTTGGTTCTTGAAAAAATATTTTTAAAAAATCCACGTTTATTTTTGGTTCTTGAAAAAATATTTTTAAAAAATCCACGTTTATTTATGGTTCTTGAAAAAATATTTTTAAAAAATCCACGTTTATTTTTGGTTCTTGAAAAAATATTTTTAAAAAATCCACGTTTATAGATTGTCCATGAAAAAATATTTTAAAAAAATCCACGTTTATTGTTGGCTCTTGATAAAAAAGGTATTTTTAAAAAATCCACGTTTATAGTTGGTCTTTGAAAAAATATTTTTTAAAAAATCCACATTTATGGATGACCCTTGAAAAATGATTTTTAAAAAATCCACGTTTATGGATGACCCTTGAAAAATGATTTTTAAAAAATCCACGTTTATGGATGACCCTTGAAAAATGATTTTTGAAAAATACACGTTTATGAATGACGCTTGAAAAATTGTTTTTCAAAATCCACATTTATGGATGGCCCTTGAAAAAATATTTTTAAAAAATCCACGTTTATAGATGGCCCTTGAATTTTTTTTTTTAAATCCACGTTTTTGGATGGCCCTTGAAAAAATATTTTTAAAAAATCCACGTTTATAGATGGCCCTTGAAAAAATATTTTTAAAAAATCCACGTTTATGGATGACCCTTGAAAATTATTTTTAAAAAATCCACGTTTATAGATGACCCTTGAAAAAATATTTTCAAAAAATCCACATATATTGTTGGTCCATGAAAAAAATATTTTAAAATAAATTTACCTTGACTGGTTGTCTTAAAAAAATCTACGTTTATTATTAGTCCTTGAAAAAATATTTTTGAAAACCACACTTTAATGTTGAAATGTTGGTCCTTGAAAAATATTTTTAAAAAATTAACGTTTATTATTGGTATTTTGTTGGTATTTTAAAAAATATTTTAAAAATCCAGTTTTTTTATAGGATTTAAAAATATTTAAAAAACCCATGCTTATTAATAGTATAAGCAAAAAATATTCTTTAAGTAATCTTTTAGCTCGAATAGTCCTAAAAAGTATTATTTAATTTCGTTTTTTCATAGACCGCCTAAATGTGTGCTATGTTTTTAAATAATGCCTTAAAGTACTATCTTTTTACAAATGTGTAAGTTTTTCTATTCTCCTCTCTTTTCTCTCCACATCTCTGAATCAATCTCCTATTCTCTGTGGTATCATGCCATTCATTAAATGACCCTCTTTGTGGTCTCGTTTATTGTTACTTTCAATTATGCTTCATTATCTTCGAGTCATTTTTTTCCTCCACATTCTGGCATGGGCTACTTGAACATGCCATCAACTCCAACATGATGCAATATGGCATAACAAAAAGGAATTTATCCTTGAAAATGAAATACAAAGCACAAAAGGGAAAAGTGGAGCTACAGACAAAAAGGTCTCCAGACAGTCATTTCACTTTAACATGGCCAAGTTGTTTTATGGCTAGTTTGTTCTTT